CATTAAAAGACTCATGAAAACTCAAAATTACTGGCTACTCAGGTAGTGGCATTAAAACCCATAAATGTAGCAAGGAAGTGAGACAGTTGCTGTGAAAAGAAACATATTTCTGTACTTTGCTGAAGTCACATTTTAAATTTTTTTTACCCACAAATATTAGATTGATTGCTCTAGAATCTGAAGAACTTTATTCATAAAACAAATACTGTAATACAGCCAGCTGCTATCAAAGTTTCCCCATAATGTGCCCTTGGTGTAACAAACATATTGGGAAATTTCATTTATTCTTCAGGTTCTTGAAACAGTGCAAGGTTTAATTTTTTCACCTTGCCTATCTGTGTTACAATGATGCCCCTGTACAGTAGATATACATCATGAGGTTCTACTGTTAATTCAGTGGATCACAACTACAACAAATGCTGGGGTAAAAGTCTGAAAAGAAGTGCTTGAAAAGACAGGGAAGTTTTCTCTATTAACTGCATTATCGTTTTCCCCTTTGCTATAGATTAAATAGCAATTTTTTTTTCCAACAAGGAACTCTCTGTTTCATCTCTAACTCCCATCCAAATGACAGTACAAAGAATTAAACTTTGGTTTACTTCACATCACGTATTAGTCCTCTTGTGCTGAGCAATACCCCCAAGTTTGACTATAGAGGATACTCCTTTTTTTTAATTTAGTTAAATTACTAATTTTAAGAAAGATAAGTCCCCTGTATAATTTTGCAGTGCTTAAAGAATACATCCTTTGAGCATTCTACCCTGAAATACATTAGTCTGCTATCACATTTTAAAATTTATTGAACATTCATAACTGCAGTTACATCAAGGAAAATATTAAATCTGCACAATAAATCCAAGCATTATACACAAAAATTATGCTTATAAGCAATACGATGATCTCTTCATCTCTACCAGGGCTCCCAATTTCACAACAGGCAGAGGCAACATCTCTAGGGATAAAGCCAGCTGCTCCTGAAAAATGCAACACAGTGACAAGGCGGCAACAATGTTGTTGGCGTTAGAAACAGATGCTCATCTGCATTCTCGGCCAGAAAGAGGGTCCAGGAATCCTATCTTCCAAAAAAGAATGTCTTAAAAGACCATATTTTCTATGGAAAATAAATTTTCCTCCCAAGTGTGGTTTAAAATGTACAGAAACAATTTTGTTTAATGCTGGCATGTATGTTTTAAAGCATAGCATCTTTGTTTGTTTAGAGGGAAGAGGGGATTTTAGACTAACCTAACATAATCCAAACCATATAGAAATTAAAATAAAGTCTGACACAGTATCTTAGCAATGAATGTCTAAAGGCAGAGACAACACCCACATCCAAAAATTCTAACTGTGATTTTTAAAAGGAAAAGATCTCCCACTCACCCTTCTCCTACCTTCTCTTTTCCCCACCAAACATAAAAGTTGTTTTTAAGGAAGATACTTGATTCATGGTTCTAACATTCTTCCAGTTTAAAGTAAAACTGAACCTTAAAAAAAAAGCCTGCTGCAAAATAAGAGACCATAAATACAAATGTAATTAAACTTAAAAGCCACAATTAGAATATCTAGATACAAGTGTGCTATAGTTGCAGCTATCTAGGTGCACCAGAACTGCTAGTGTTGACATAAAACTGAAGTAAAATCTTCCATATTCAGTCTGTTGCTAGGAAAACATAATGGAATCTCATATTCTGGCCCACAAAACTTTTATAAGTGAGGCTTTAAATACACTCCAGTAGCAAGTACTTAATGGTTTACTTTTGATCTGGATAAAACCTCTCATATCATGAAATTCAGACTAGGTGCGCACACATTTCTGTCCACTGCATTTTATTTTTAACCATCCAGTGATTTTTAAACCTCTCACTGTCTTTATAACTATAGTAGGCAAGTAGCAAAGAGGACATTGCTGACTTTACAGCCATTCTATCTTTTTGCCCAGCCACATTATAGAGTAACGCTGACTTTAGCTCTGAAGAAAGCTATTTGCTCGTCACCCCAAGGAGGGGCAACACTAAAAAAAGGTAAAACAAATGAAACAGAAAAACATGCATGCTATGCAATGGGGTTGAATGTAGTTTCCAAAACCTGTGATTTTGACTGCATATTATATGGCCTTGTCAAGAACAGGATTTAGGAACTTTAGCTAATGTGCTAACATGTTTTAGGCAAGGTTTGCTGCCTTTAAAATGGGCTGAGCAATTTAACATGTTAAAGAAGTGTGACTTTCCCATATTAGACTCTTAAAACATGCAAGTTAACAGGCTAGCTAATAGGTAATAACATCACACCTTCAGTTGCACTCCACAAAAAAGATGAGATAACTTAAATGCGATGGACAACCTGGATCAATGAGATGCACAATCTTCCAAGACTGACTGGAAACAAATCTGACCAGGGGTCAACAACCTACAACCTATGGGCTGGATCTGACCCATGAAACTATGGCTTCAATGGTGTTTGGCAGCAGGTGCTTTGCTTGTGCTGCAGCCAGGTGGCAGCAAGAAGGGGCAGGGAGCAGCAGCAGCGGCTAGGTCCTCTGGCTGGCCCACCACCAAGTTAGTCTGATGTGAGGCTCACATACATTACACAGTACTTCTTACTGATTATCACTTCAGCTAACTCAAACAGAGTCAAAGCCGAGTTACAGATGACATCTGGTAGTATCACTGGGCAATATCAGACTTCAAAGATGTATCACTAAAATCTGTAACACACTGAAGGAAAATGTTTCAAAATACATTCCAAGTTCTAAATGCTATTAATTGGACCCTGTAATTTCACTCTATTTCATGGAATTAATAAGATTTGAGGTCAAACATTATTTTAGCACTTTACAGCTACATTTTCCAGCAGATCATATTATCACCATAGTAGAGGCTGGGAAGGGCTGGTCAGAATATCATTTATAGATCACTTAAAAGCCTGGATGTTCATGGGGACCAGAATCAACAGCTCTGTACTATAACAGCTCTGTTGCTAATGCCAACAAGACCTGAAGTATAAAACTAGTATAGCAGTGCTCTATGGAAAATACTGGTCACTGTATAAAAGTTTATATAAACTATTAAGAACCTCCAACAAAATAAGTTATATACTGTATAAGAATTTGTATTTTTTGTTTAATCATAAGCAAACACTGTACAGCTTGCCTGCTTATTTTGGTGACCATTTCCTAATGTGATTAAACCTATTGAAGCCAACAGGATTACTTGTTTGAATAAATTTGCCAACATAGATAGAAGTTGGCAGCTGGACGTGGACATAATTGAAGCAATTAATATACTGGCTGAAAACTTCCACTTCTTCTATTTAGGGCCCGATTCCTACAACTCTTAATTGCTGGATTTGACCCTCACTGAAGCATACAGCATGGCTATGTAATAAACTGCAGCAGAAAATTTCAGTGCTAGGATTTCACACAAAAAGCTAACTTTTGCCAGCATTTCTAAGACTACCTGTTGGAATATACCATATACATGAAATGCAGACCAACATAAGAGTAAACAGGAAAACAATTTTTCAAAGTAAGCTAACGTGTTTTAACTGAGTTTTTAACTGGTTTTTAAACCAAGGGTGTCAAACGTCTGGCCCACGGGGTGGATCCACGCACAGGGCTTCTCACAGTCTGAAAGACCCACCTCCAGATCCAGCCCGTGGAGCCTGAAACTGTTGGCAGGGCCAAGGCCCCTTCCCCTGCCACAGAATTTCTGCGTTGAGCAGCAGTGGTAGTGTTAAAACCCTTGGGTGCTGGTTAACTCACAGCTAAATTTCCTTTCAATGACAGGAGGCTGACTGGCAGCAGTGTTAAGCCCCATGCTGACACATCAGCCCGGGCAGCTGCAGACGTTAACACCTGAGCCGCTGTGTCAGCGTGGTCAGCATGCTGGGGTTAATTCCACCATTGCAGGTGGTGGGTCACCCAACCCATGGGAAGCCCTGAAGTCCACATCCAGCCCACGATCCTATTAGTTTGACACCTCTGAATTAATAAGTTATAAACAGAACACACCAATTATAATAGATTATTCATTCAATGCAATGGGGAGATGTACATTTCTTGCATCTGCTAATATCAGGTTATCAAGAAAGGAACTCTTGACATATTTTTAAAAACAATGGGAATTTAAAACATTTTCTTTATTCAAATACAGATGTTAATATTTCTTCACAGTGAACTTTAGTTACTTTAATTTGAGAACAAATGTTAATGTTTTTATATATATGTTACAGATTTATCATCATTTTAAACTATATTATTAAAATTACATAACTGCCTTGTCATGGAGGTGCATCAAGAACAGCTGCTTTCACCACTCTTACTGAGAAGGAGTCCTAAACTACAGCTACTGATGGTTTGGCATGAGAGAAAATTAGTGGTGTTCTGAGGTTCTCCCTTCTATATACCATTTCTCATTCCAATGCTTTCTAGTGATCTCTGCAGAACAGGGGTTGGCAATGTTTTTGGGCAAAGTGCCAAAAACACCAGCAACCTTGACTTGTAAGATGGTGCGCCAGGGGCAGACGGCAGAGGAGCTGTGAGGGGCCCGGTCCTTGTTACAGTAGTGCAGCCCTGGCCTCTTCCCTACCCTCTGTCCCAAGGCGCACATGCCAAGCAAAATGCCTTTGTGTGCCACACATTGGCACCCGTGCCGGGAGTTGCCAACCCCTGCTGTAGAGACTTCTCTGTACTAGATTTTAAAAAGTTGTCCAAGTGCAGGAAAAAAAAAGCTGAACAAGAAATATACTACATATTCCTCCAAAAAAAGCCCATAATATATTCATAAAGAAAAAATAAAAATCTCACAGTGAATGTCTGTAAACTACATGGCTCCCTCTTGTGCTTATTACACCACATTTCAGTCCACAAAATATCACAACATTAAACCATGAACATTTTGGTTTTTTACCATTTGGCTAGCAT